GAGATTCTTTAAACTTAACTAAGCGAATCTATTAATGATGGACGTATTCATTCCCAGGGCCATACTAGACTATGAAAATGACAGACAATCAGAATTCAGTCACTCAGAAAGTTTCTTTTAAGTGCTGTGCTAGTGGCATGTTGTTTGTTCCAGGAGCATATTCATGCTCACGCACATATACATATATTACGTGTATATACATACACAAAAATATACCCGGCCATAAGGGATCTCTGAGGCCATCTCAGGTTATCTTATATGGAGGGAGACAAAGTATATACAAAATGAATAATGTAAACACATAAAAGAAAACATATCAATACATAAAAGTTATATTGCCCAAATTGAGAATGTAAGAATTATAGTGTTCAGATGGGATTTATCAAGTAAAATTTCTTATGGCAAATTGTAGGGTGATTCTTGCACCTTACATCCTTACGATTTAAACCTTTTATCCTTCTAAGGAGGGTTTGTTGTAGGGAAGGGTGTTCCTCATGTATAGAGAGGAGAAATTGCTCCTCAGATATCTTAAACTCAACATAAATGACATAGTGAGGGAAATTAAGTTGTGTGCTGAGGGAGACAAACAGCTTATTTTGCTTCCTTAAGAATTGTTTTAAGGGGAAGATGAAAGGCTGGTTGAGCACAGTGGAGGAGGTAAATAGGTTGAAGAGCCTAGATTTTAAAATTGTCAAGAAATAGCCTTTCTGTTTTTGAGTTAAAAAACAGTTATGAAAATTGTGCCTGAGGAAGATCATTTTGGCAGATATGGAGGTTAAATTAGAGCAGGAAGAAATAAAAGTATAGTTTTAAGAAATAAAAGAATAAAGGAAAAGACATTGAAGTCATTTCCTTTTTCTAAGCCTGTAGCTCTACTAATTTCACCACCTCATTAGCTCATCAGTCTCTTTTTCTATTAGAAGCATTCTAATCTACATGAGATGGATAATTGTTTTCATCTGATAACTAAACAGTGGTATTCTTGAAGTCCTAAACATTATATATGTTATACAAACCTTTTCACACAGAAAGATTCCTTATTTCACTTCCCATTTACCAGGCATATTTCTATTGATCTTCACAGAATCAAAAATGCCACCTGGCACAGACCATTCTTAAAACAGGTTCTTTCAAGCCTACCCTCCTTCTTAGGGCGAACCCTCAGAAAAGTTGTGAAGTTTATATACATTCCTATTATGTAGTTTATCTGTCCTTTACAAGCCAATGGCTATCTTTACTCTTTGCTCTTTGGTGACCATAATGGTGAAAATTTCAAGTCAGCAGGTAGATACTGTGGATGACATATTAGTGATCTCACCATTTTACTTCATCTATTATGCCCTTAGTCTTTCTGGTCTTGCATACTAATTACCAGGTTCCCAGAGAATTCATTTCTGGTGGATGGTAGAGGCATTCAATGGAGAATGAATATACAGAGGAGATTTTAATTATCTAATCATCTCAACATGCTCTTTGTCAATTGAGCTCTAGTCCCACATCATTATCTATTGGACATTTTTAGCTAGATGTTCACCAGATAGCTCAAGATCAACATTTCTAGAACAAAACTAAGCCTTCCTCTCCCACAAATGCCTCTGTTCCAAATTTATTTAATTCTGTTGAAGTCAACACTATCTTTCTAGTCACTGAAATTCACATCTACTGGGTCATTCTCAACTCCTCATTCTAATTCCACATATAAATCCAGTTGACAAATATTATTACCTTCACCTCCACAACATCCCCTTCTTTCTACCTACAAAACCACTGCCATTGTTCAGACCCTCATCATCTCTCACCTAAAAAAATTTCTCCAACTTCCTAAATTGCTTTCTAATCCCAAGTCTCTCCCTAATCCAAACCATTGTCCACATAGCTGCCAAACTGATATTCCTAAAGTTCAGGCCTGACTGTATTGCACACCATATTATTCACTGTTGTCCAACAATAAACTTAAGTGACTTCATATTTGAGATTGTAAATTAAACATATACTCTTCTGTTTGGATTTTAAAGCTCTCAGTCTGTCCCCAAACTACATTTCTGCCCTTATTATAAATTATTACTCTTTCCCACACTCTATGCTGCAATCAAACTAGTCTTATTATTATTATCTTATATTTAACTCCATTTTTCTTCTGTCCTGGAATGGTGTTCCTTCTTACCACCACCACTTCGTCTCTATTTGCCTTGAAGACTCAGTTAATAGGATCACTTCCCAACTTCCCATCCAACTCTATAGACACAGAGTGTTTGTAGATCTGTGAAAGACATTTGGGGAGATAACTACCTTTGCATAGCAACTCCTAATTTGGAGATCATTATGATAATTAAAAATACAAGAATGTAAAGGAAACACCCATAAATGAATAAGTAATACCATAGAAATGACATAAAATTAATACAGTGGGCTTCTCCGTTACATTTTCCTAGCCTAATAATATTTTTAAAAATTATAGTAGGTTATTACTTATTCAAGTAAATCAAATATAATATTAAATTAGCACAAGGATTGATAAAACCACCGTACAGGGTAACATGAAGACAGCCTGAACAAAGGGGAATAGCATGGTAATAAAATAAAATAAATCGTAACACTCATATCATAGTGATCAAAAATAATATTGTCAAAAGTTTATTCCTTTAAATTCCTTTTGGGTTAATATATATGACTACTGATTTATCAAATGAGATAGCCCCTAAGGATCCTGAAAATGGTGTCTTTAAAAATGGAGCTTTCAACTAAATTAAGTTCTGAATCAATAATACGAAAGTTAGAGCTCACCTTTACATATGGCAACTATATATATTTTTGTTTTAGGAATAATGATATCAGGAAAAATTGTAGTTACTTTTCAAAGATATTAGTCTAAGAACTATTTCTTTATGAAAATCATTTTAATACGATGTTGCCATTAGGGGGAGCTTTTCTTTTCAGTACTAGTTAAGGGCGTTTTGTACTTCATTGGTCACCCTGAAGCAGCAAATATTTCATTTTCTATTGAAGTTGGATCTCATTGGATGAAGGACTACTCTAATACCAACCTGTAACTGGGTCAAGAAAACATATTCATATTCATGCAAAAAACCCACATAAAACAAAACAAACTTGATCAAGGAAGTAAAAAAAAAAAGTAGAGTTGATACTTCCACACTGAACCTCCATATATGTAGAAATGTCCTTTATATCTTTTCAATAGGTTCAGTTTAAGACTAAAGTAGTTTCAGGTAACAGAAAAACTTTCACAAGCTACAACCAATTTATGACACATTATAAATTATTTCAATAAAGATCATGGAACCTGGTTACTTAAGGTATCTTTGAAGAGGTATTTTGACCCAATAGCATGCACAAATAAAGTGTTACTGCACACATTTAAAAATCTAATTGTCTATAGAAATTGTAGTAATCCTTTCCTCTTAATTCCAAATAATAAAAAATGCTTCTAACAGAAAAAAAAATGTCAATTTCCTTAAAAATTGTTCACTTCTTTTTTTCATGGAGAAAAAAGACATTTTAATATTAGAGTAAAATAATATCCAGTTATAAAAATTCATCATGTCACCTGATATAATAGAATGGATAGTAATTAGGAATCACCTGATTCCTAATACAGTAAGTATTATCTCAGTGGTCTTAATTAGGAAAGCCTTGCATTCTTATTCCATTTAAATACTACAGCTTATAAGTTTCAAGAAAGCGTGAAGTTGTATGAAATTTACAAGAATGAATTGAAGCTGTGCTTCAAACACCTGCTGCACATATTCTTAACCTTTCATTTCAGAAATAGCGTATGCAATGATATTAAAAGTACACATTCATATTTGCTCTTTCTAATTCTTTCCTCTTACATTCAGATGTGCTTGGGGGCCCTCCCCCTACCCACTCCTACATTCTTTGATATGATTTCTTCAACATTTTTAAAGTATATTTCAAAGATTTCCAACACTAAGAAATAAAAGCATGCTGATGAGTGCACCCTTAAATGCAAAAAAAAATTCATTATAGAACAAAATTCTAGTTAGTAATATGGCAAGCTCATTAGTACTGAAGGGATCTATTACATACCAGTGAATTTTACCTTTCATTGGTGAAAGGAAAGCACCATACAATACTTTGATAAGTAGAACCTGGAACATTTGTAATGTAAAATTGAGAACCAAAAAAGATGATAAAGAGTCCACACTCTTTACTTACTCTTCCCACTGCCCCTTCTTGCAAGATTTTTAAAAGGAGCAAGAATTTTATAAGAAATAGCTGGCAGCCAACAAATTGTCACGGAACCACAAAGTGGGCTTATTTCTCAGCACTAATTATTTGAAGAGGTGTGTTATCAGGTTAACATTTTTACTAAATAAGTCTGGACCTGGTAAATATAATGAAAGACTCCTTGTAAGGAAAATCCCATTACAGAGAATTCAAACCTCTTTACGTTAATTTTCTCTCTGTTATTCTAGGTATCAGTATTACTCTTTCCTTAATAACTGTCCTTTTCTGAGAAATGTTCCTGAACTCTAATTTATACTTTTAAAAATACCAAGTTATCCACAGTGAGTTATCAAACTTTCTGTAACTTTTGTACATAAAACAGCAGGCTTGGAAAACTGAAATGGGTTCGGAACCCATTTGGAAAGAAAAACTCCATCGAAAATCTGGGATTGGGGAAGCAATAGACAATTTAGGCTTTCCAAATGATCAAATGTTCTAGGGATACCTCCGTTACAAAGGAAAGTAATGACTGAAAGGTAAAGATCAATTACTGAAATTCAATCATCGGTAGATAAGGGCAACTAGAAGAAAGTTACCTTCAATCATTCAGCTCCTTTTAATTTTCTTTCAAAATCTCAGAGGCAATTAAGCTAGAAAAATAAGTGAGGCAGGAGAGACACCTTCAGCTAGTATTACATAGGAAGAACAGTCTCTGTTTTACCAACAACAAAGTGGTTGTAATCAGATGGGAGACAGAGGGAATTCATCTGCCCAACTACAAGTGAACTCACCTGAGTAACACAGCTGCTTCCCAGAAGTAAAATCCCGAAGCAGCTATCCGAAAATATTTCACTTGGGCCATGTTATAATCAGTCATTTACATTACTGAATGCAGGAGTATCCAAGGCATGGGGGAAAAGAAGGGACGTGATGGAAAAGACAAACTACCAATAGTTCCTGGCTTGCATAAGGAAGGCTCCTGGGAAAGCTTCAGAACCTTAGACAGCTCCCAACAGCCAGTTACACCTGCGATTTCCAACAGGATCCCTTTTTTCAGTACAGGGAGTATAGGAGAGAAGCAGAGGTGTCAGAAGCGCAGGTGATTTATACACTGTCCCTGGCGAAAGGGAGGGTGATGAGGGCAGAGAGGAGGGGTCTGTAATTCCTCTTCACTGTGGACAACAGCTCCCTGAAGCTCTAGAAGAGCTGTACACGCCAAGGAAGGAAATCGATCCACTTCGGGGTTCCGAGCCCACTGGACTAGAAGACGCAGTTGCAGTAGGGTTTCCCCGCCGCCCACTTCTGTTTTGGCTCCTGCACCTGTTTCAGGCGTCAGCCCAAAGCCCGCTCTCCACATTCCAGCAAAATCCAAACCAAAAGACCGCTGGCAATCCGAATGGGGGCGAGGGAGGTACCAGGCAAAACTGTCCTTCTCACCAATCACAGCAGCGCGGCCCCGCAGATTGACAGTTCCTTCGGGACCATGGGTGGTGCTTACCACTTTGCCCTTTAAAGGAGCTGGCGTTGGGTACATGAGAAGAAAATGGGACTATGTGTGGTTGCCAGGGACTGGGATGGGGGGTTGGGGTTTGGGGAGAAGATACAATAAAGGAAAAGATATTGATTTTATACCCGACTGAAGTCCCTTAGCTATGCGGCTTGGGAACCCCCAGCTCTTAGAGGAGAGGGTGGCAGACCAACTAAAAGTGTGTTTATGCGGATGGGGGCGTCCCCTAACCCCCTTTCCACACTAGGCGGATTGGGGCTCTAGTGCTTTCATTTCCAAATCTTACTCCTAGAGAAAATGGAAACAGTCCCAGGGGCTAGGCATCAATTCCATTTGATTTTATTTCACAACAGCACTTGTGCGCTCTTTTTAATGCACCACAAGAATAACTTGGAGAGGAAGGGGTGTGTGTGTGTGTGTGTGTGTGTGTGTGTGTGTGTGTGTGTGTGTGTGTGAGAGAGAGAGAGAGAGAGAGAGAGAGAGAGAGAGAGAGAGAGAGAGAGAGAGAAAGAGAGAGAGATGGGAGATTTGGGAAGGTGGGGGAGAATCCCACTTTGTTACACTACGTCTTTTTGCTCGGGGAGGGGGAGAGTTCTGGGGAAATGTCTTTCCAGATCACGGATAGATGTTTGTTTTATTAAAACTCTGGACAGCACCTTAGCTCATTAAGGCTTCTAGAGCTTTCTTTTACCCTGTCAATCAAAAGCCAAACGTCCTGAATAAAATGCTCACAATTATCTCATTTCCCTTGTCTTCTTTTAAAATTCCAAACCAATGTCCTTCCCAGGGGAAAAAAAAAAGCACAGCTTCCTAAATTCACTCCACTACTACCTCTAAGTTTTCTTCCTGGATATACAGCAAACTTAGGGGGTCAGCTGAAGTAGCTTTATGCTTACAGCCATTCCAATAGATATCGACATTTTCTGAATCAAACAATGCTTTCCCTCCCTATGCAGCCTCCTTCCTCCTCCGTTTTAAGAAGCTTCCCTGAAGTTATATTGGTAGTTCTCCTCAGACTATTTTGTCTTCATTTACTACTCAATAGAGGCACTACAGATTTATTTTCATTTACAAGATCACTGGCCTAGAGATGATAGGGACCTCAAAATATATAGTCCAGCCACCATATTTTCCAGATGAGAAAATTGAAGCTCATACTGATTTGCCCAAGATTTCAGATGGAGTGAGTAGTAGAACTAAGATTTAACTCAGCTCTTCTGATTCCAGCTCCAGCACTGTTTCCTCTATTCCATATTGCCTTGTTAATGCAACAAACTTATAGGAGAACTGGTGATGCAGAGCACCATATCAGGTATTTGTAGCAAAGAAATAGTTTATATATGACACATTCGCTGTCATGGAGTTTGCAGTCCAGGAGCTTTTCAAACACTGAAAATAATTATTTTGTTACGCCTTTTTAAACTTATACCCTCAGTGGTTCTGTTCATATTCCAGTTTCTCTTTTAGAACATAAGCTACCTTGAGCCAATGGATTATGCTTGTTCAATTCTCTTTGAATATCACTTTGCAGAGTACTTCAAACTGTTATAATAGAAGCAATATACTCCAATGGAAAAGAAAACACAAGTAGATTTTGAGCCTGGAAAGCTGGATTTTAATCTCAGCTTTCATCCTTACTAGGTATGGTTCCATGTGGAAGTTACTTTCCCTCAGTTTCCTTAAGTGCAAAATGAAGATAATAATATTTTCAATAAATGGTAATATGGGGTAGTGGAGAGAGAGCCTGCCTTAGAGCCATTTCTTTTTCTCCTTCTTCCCATTCTGTTGGAGAGAAACCAAAAACAAAAACTTCTGTAGTATATATGCACAGTCAAGCAAAATACGTTCCATTATTGTTGCTGTTGTGGTCTTCAGTCTTTTCAGTTGGGTCTAACTGTAAGCCCATTTGGGATTTTCTTGGAAAAGATACTGGAGTGGTTTGCCATTTCCTTCTGCAGCTCTTTTCACAGATGAGGAAACTGAAGCAAACAGGGTTAGTTGACTTGCCCAGGATTGCACACCTAGTAAATGCCTGCGTCCGTGTTTGAACTCAGGTCTTCTGACTCTAAACACAGTGTTTTAACTACTGAGTGACTTAGCTGCCTTCCATATTGGTACTGTCCAAAAAGGTTTCGTTCTGAATATTTAACCTATCTTCTCTCTGTCAGGAGGTAGGTAGCATTCTTCATCATTGGTCCTCTCAATCTCTTTTAAATACTATTGGAATCTTTAATATGTTTGCATACAATTTTGTTCCTTATTGTATTCCGAGGTGACCTGGATTCCAGTATCAATTCTGTGGCTAATTGTGTGACTTGAGGAAAGTCATTTATCCTTTTTAGGCCTGTTTTCCCATTTGTCAAATGAAGGGTTTTTTTTTTAAATTAAATTATCCCTGAAGGTTTTTTGATGTCTAAATTCTATGAGTACATAAGCTATGACATCTATAGCCATTTGACATATGGGTCACAATATACTTTTTGCTAATGCACTTGGCAATACCTCCAGGGTCTATGATTTCCTCGTATGTAACTCCCTCAGTCAGTTTAGCTCATAACTCTCCTCTATACTAGTAGATTGTATTCATGAGTACCTGTTGAGCAAATGGAATTTAAAACCTAGTAGACAATCTTCTGGGTTTGAATGAATGTGTCCCAATTTTACAATGACTGCTCTTCACAAAATAGATGTACTGTGTGTCACTAGCCCTGTACTGCAATCCTTTCCAGTTTAGGAGAAATCTTAGGCTTTCAGAGCCTTTTGTTGCCTTGGTAATGATGAAGCATCAAAAGAAGACCATCAAGAAAGCTTATCTAACCGCCTTAAAGGCAAAGTGATTCCATCTATCAACAGGTATAGCTTCCTCTTACTTCTATTTTTTTAAAGAAAAAAAAAAGTACAGGCTATATAATCAATAGTCTATCCAACCCATGGATCTAACAGTGGGTAATTTGTGAGAGCACAGTTATGTTTACTATCTTCCCCTAATGCAGTAGAGAGGCAGTTAGGTGGCACGGAAGATAGAGTACTGGACCCAAAGAAAAGAAAAACCTGAGTTTGAATCTGATACTTAATAGCCAAATGCTTAATAGTTTTATGTCCTTGGTCATGTCATATAACCCTGTCCCCCTTGGTTTCTTCATCTATAAAATGTGGATAATAATAACCCCTTCCTTTCAGAATTGTTATGAAGATAAAATAACATTTGTAAAGCACTTTGCAAACTGCAGAGTAGTCAATGCTAGCTATTATTACTGAGCACACTTAACTCTCTTTTAATAACTCATTGTTGATCTATTATTCAGGATTCTATATACTTATTATTTTTACTGAATCCATTTATATTTTTGGTCTATACAACCTTTTGGGTAGCAAATTCTATATGTCTGTTACAAGGTTGGAATAGCAATTTGGAATTAAGGGACGGTGGATGGAGATTTGGGATCAAGTCCCATCTCAGATACCTCCTGACTATAGATATTTGGGCAATTTAGCTAATTAATCAATGTTCCAGACAACTCCTTAAACCTTTTAAGTTACACAGTAGATGCCAGTCTGCATCTGAAGAATGAATTTCCTCCCTGCAATTTTCACCACTGAAATCACATGCCTCCCCCCCAAAAAAAAATTACAAGACTGTAAGTTTGGTAGCTCAAGTTTATATTCATAGGACAGGTTCTGTAGCTTCTGAACCCCAGGGATCCTAACTCAATTTTTACTATCTGATGCTTAGTAAAAATTTTTTTGCTGATTGATGGTTTGAGGTGATCTTCAGTATATCTTACAATAATCAGTTCAGTACATGTATTTTGTGGGCAAAATATGATATATAATATATCAGATATTTTCTTTATTAGTAATTAATGCAAGAATTTTTTTTTATTTTGGAAAATTTCTATACATTATTATTATAATGATCTGAGATCCCATGTTTAAAACATTCTATATATTTCTCATTGCCCATCAAGATACATTACTTTCTCCTTTTTATCACTTGTTCCCTAATTCAATTTTTTTTCCAAATTCATGTCCAGAAGTGGTTAATAGTACAACATACGTTAACTCCTCTGATGTATTAATAACTGATTGATTGTAGTTATGGTGAGAATTGTCATTCTGACATAGTCCTTAACACCCAAGAGCCACAAAAATAACCTATGGCAACTCTCACTTCCCCAAAACAAGAGATTTCAATTATGAAAATATAAAGATGATCAGTTTATTACAAAGAATTTATTTTAATTTTTAAAAAATTGTTAATTTATTTTGATGTATCAACAATCACTTCCATATGCTTTTGAGTTTAAAATTATTCTCCCCCTTCCTCCCCACCCCCTTCCCAAAACAGCACACAATCTGATATAGGCCATACATAATCATTCCTATTAAACATTTTCACATTAGTGATGTTGTAAGTAAAAATTGGAACCAGTAGGAGGAACCACTAGAAAGAGGAAACAAAACTCAACAGAAGAGAAAAAAATGCTAATTCAACTTCCATAATTCTTTCTTTGGATGTGGATAGCATTTTCTGTCATGAGGCCTATGGAGATGTCTTAGATCCTTGTATTGCTGGGAAGGGTTAAGTCTATCAGTATTAGTCATCACACAATGTGGCTGTTATCGTGTACAACATTCTCTTGGTTCTGCTGACTTCACTCAGCATCAGACCATACAAGTCTTTCCAGGTTTTTCTGAAGTCAGCCTGTTCATCATTTCTTATAGTACAATAGTATTCCATTACATTCGTATACCACAGCTTGCTCAGCCATTCTCCAATTGATGGGCATCCTCTCAGTTTCCAATTCTTTGCCACCACAAAAAGAGCTGCTA